GACCTTAGGGAGCGTGATGGATTGTAGCGTGGTAGAAGACTAGTTAGGTACGCAGGAGCTAACCCATTAAGGGCCTTATAGGCAAGTAATAATATTTTGTAACTGATACGGAACTTAATAGGTAGCCAGTGCAGAGACTGTAAAATTAGGGTAATATGATCATGTTTTCTTGACCTGGTAAGGACTCTAGCCGCTGCATTTTGGACTACCTGTAGCTTGTTTACATCAGTGCGCACGCGTCTTTCACACAGCATACAGCGGTGTTGTGCATTTTGACCAGTTGATGAGAAAAGTATTCTTAAAATGTATTCAAAATTCGGAATAATTTGTAATATATAATTATTCACGGTATTTAGAAGTGCCCACGATAACAATATCGTGCATATTCATTACCGTGATATATCGCATTACCGAATACCGGCACAAGTCTACTGTACAAGAAGTAACAGTACATCCGTCTAGTTGCAAATTGTAATCCAAGAGATTCTGTGTACTGTTTTTTTGGTCCAATAAGTATCTCTCTCTCTTATCCGAATTGAATAGGAGAAAATGATTGGTCATCCTATCTTTTAAATTTTTTAACACTCTGTTAGCTTGGATAATTTAGAAGTTTCTTCTGGTCTTGTTGAGATATTTAGTTGAGTATCATCAGCATACAGTGGAAACTAATCCCGTATTTTCTAATAATATTACCAAGGGGCAACGTGTATATTGAAAATAGCAGAGGATCTAGGACAGATACTTGTGGCACTCCATGTTTTACTGGTGATAATTGAGATGACTCCCCGTTTAAATAAACAAAGTGGTAGCAATCGGACGGGTAGGATCTAAACCAGGGGTGGCGAACTTCGGTCCTGGAGAGCCGCAGCCCTGCAGAGTACAGCTCCAACCCTAATTAAAACTCACCTGCCTGTAGCTTTCTAGTAACCCTTCAGACCTTGATTAGCTTGTTCAGGTGTGTTTGATTAGGGTTGAAGCAAAACTCTGCAGGGCTGCGGCTCTCCAGGACCGAAGTTCGCCACTGCTGATCTAAACCATCTTAAAGCCTGCCCTTGAATACCTGTATAGTTTTGTAATCGATCTATGAGTATGTCATGATCTATAGTGTCGAACGCAGCACTAAGATCAAGTAAAACTAGCAATGAGATGCAGCCTTGGTCTGACTCAAGAAGCAAGTAATTTGTAATTTTAACAAGTGCAGTTTCTGTGCTATGGTGGGGCCTGAAACCTGAATGAATTTCTTTATAGAGATCTTTTTTTGCAAGGAGCAGCACAATTGAGCAGACAACTTTTTCTAAAATTTTAGATATAGATTTGAAATGGGTCTGTAATTTGCCAGTTCACTAGGATCTAGTTGTGGTTTCAGGCTTAATAACCGCCAACTAGAATGGTTTTGGGATGTGACCTAAATATAACGACGAGTTAAAGGGGTCATATGATGTTGCTAAAATGAACATTATTTGGTATAATGACATGTTTATGAGGTTTTAAAAAAAGTAAAAAAAAATGTATAAAGATTTTTATAAAGCTCATCGGTCTGAAAAGCGAGGTGTGCTCTGATTGGCCAGCTGTCCAGTGCGTTGTGATTGGCCGAATACCTCAAGCGTGAGACGGAAATGTTACGCCCCTTACCATACTGTGATGCCGTGTCTGGCCGGAGCGACGAGACAAAAACATGAAAACCCATTATAAACGAGGCATTTGTTGCATCCAGTTGGGACATAATTATGGATTATAATGACTTATACTGTCTTTTTATGCATTGCATCGTGCCGCGTAAACACAAAACCATGTCTGCATTTGTGATCAGAGAAATGACATACAAGCGCTACTCTACACTGCTCAAAACTCGCTTTTGAATCTTCAGTGGCCAATCCTTTAAATGAAAACGTACTTACAGTCTGTGAGTCAGAACAGCCGGCATTGTAGTCTACTCTTCCAGGATCAGGAAACTGTTCTCCATAAAATGTGCTGCACTGAACTGAACTGTTCTGGAACAGTGTTGTAAATACAACTTAACCACTGATTTCTAGTCATGTCCTCTTTTGGAAGACCAAACAAAGTAGTTTCGCTTTCACAATGAAACACACGGCAGGCTTGAGTGAGCGGAGGCGGGTGGGCCAGAGAACAACGCGGCCGGCGGATTCGACGGAGCGTCCGGCGGGCTTGCGGCAACCACATGTGATGACCCCGGGCTGGACTCCGCTTCGTCCACGGTGATAGCCGATCCGGCGATCCACAGCGCAAAGTTGATGTATTCCCTCAGCGACCAGCACGGATCAGCTCTAGGCATGACAAAGCGGTTATGGTCCTCTTTTGGAAGGCCATATAAAGTAGTTTCGCTTTCACAACGAAACGCACAGCGCCTCCACGACATGGCGGCAGCAACAATACTACAGCTATTGGGTGCGATGAATGAAGCTGAAGTATTAGATGCTGTAGAATCTAAATTTGTTATTGTATTTCTGTTATCTATTTAATCAGTGAAGAAATTCATAAAGGCATTACTATTAAACTGTGAGGGAATATTTAGATCGGGTGGCGTCTGGTTATTTGTTAATCTAGCCACTGTGCTAAATAAAAACCTAGGATTGTTTTGGTTATTTTCTATGAGTTTGTGGATATGCTCGGCCCTGGCAGCTTTTAGAGCCTGTCTATAGCTGGACATACTGTTTTTCCACACAATTCTAAAAACTTCCAAGTTAGTTTTTCTCCATTTGCGCTCAAGACTGCGAGTTTCTTTCTTGAGAAAATGGGTATTACTGTTGTACCATGGCACAGTATGTTTTTCTCTAACCATTTTCAATTTGATGGGGGCAACAGCTTCTAATGTATTAGAGAAGGTAGTGCCCATGTTGCTAGTCATTTCGTCTAGTTCAGGGGTGCCCAAACTCGGTAAACTCCTGCAGAGTTTAGCTCCAACTCCAATTAAACACACCTGAACCAGCTAATCAAGCTCTTATAGGCATACTAGAAACTTACCAGCAGGTGTGTTGAGGAAAGTTGAAGCTAAACTCTGCAGGACACCGGCCCTCCAGGACCAAGTTTGGGCACTCCTGGTCTAGTTCATGTATATTTGTGGGTTCACAGAGCAGTTGAGATAAAAGTTGTTGTTTCAGTGTATCTATCTTGTTTCCCACTGCAGATATACATCACAGCCGTGAGGAGAGTGGGCAGCGTCTTTCTTGTGGACTTTTCACCTGTGGTATATAATTTGTCTGGAAACGAAATCTTCGACTTTTCATGGAACAGACTTTGACACCCAAGAACAAGAAGTGAAATTCATGGCCCCCATCCCCATCCCTCCACTCTCAATCCCTCCTCCTCCTCCTCCTCCTCCTCCGCCCGTCTCAGCCAGCGGTCTGACCCGAGTCGACTCTGGCCGCAAACACCGGCTTCGCAACCTCAACTGGGAGCGGATCCCCAAAGAGCGTGTGGAGGGCCGTAAGAGCGTGTGGAGCGGCTCTCTGGATGAGGACTGTGAGCTCTCCATTGACCTGAGGTCTCTGGATGAGCTCTTTGGGCAAAAAGAGGGTGACAGGCCAGACCGGGCCAGCGGCTTCCGGCGCAGTTTACGGCACTGCGGGTCTCCACAAGAGACTAGTGTGGACAAAGTAAGAGCAAGTTTCATTATCTACCACATGGATGAAAATATATTTTATTGGATTGTACTGTTTTTAATGTAAATAGACAACTGTTTTATTTAGAGGTGTGTCTAACTGATTTATTTAAAAATGTATCACTGAATGTATTTTAGATTTTTTTTTTTGTCTAGTGTACAAAGTCTTTTATTGCCTTTTGTTAAGTCAACTCACCTTTATTTATATAGCACTTCTAACAATACAGATTGTGTCAAAGCAACTGTACAGCATTAATTAGGAAAATAGTGTCAATGCAAATGCAAAATGACAATAGTAAACACTCATTTTTCAGTTAAAGACAGTTCATCATTGAATTCAGTGATGTCGTCATCCAGTTAAGTTTAAATAGTATCTGTGCAATCAAGTCGACGATATCGCTGGAAATTAAGTGTCCCCAACTAAGCAAGCCAGAGGCGACAGCGGCAAGGAACCAAAACTCCATCGGTGACAGAATGGAGAAAAAACCTTGGGAGTCACATTGTGCAGAGGACTCAACTGATTCCTGTTTTGTTAATTGTATACCTTGTATAATTTATTCAAAGATCGCCGTGAAAAATAATAAAAAATAGCCTTGATGCTGGCATGGCATTAAAAAATGAATAAATAAATAACCACATGGATGAAGCTAAGGTTGTACAAAGCTACATTCTTTTTTTTTTTTTTTTGCAACATGAAATTGTTGGTCTTTTGAAAGCCCTGCATTGTTGGTTTAAGGTCATAACCATCATATAACTTTCAGACACAGGACATTGTTCATAAACAGCTGAATGGAGCAGAACAATGGAACAGATTAGAGTTTTATGAAAGTTAAGCATTTAATTTCACACGCTCATGGCTCAAGATGCTGGAAAAACTAGATGCAATAACAAAGACCTCATCTGCATGTGTTCAATTAAAAAAATATTTGCAGGAATTGTCTTAATTTATTATTGAAGGCAATGTACTTTTTGCAAAACATTATTTTTTTAAATAAATGTATAAACTGCATTATAATAAACAATTTCAATATGTACAGCATGTTTAGTGAAGACTTTTAAACAACTTTATATCGTTTTATTGAAACTAAGCGGTCACTTTTGCAAACTTGTCTGAGTTTGTGTGCTGATTACCTTAATTTGTGTTTGCAGGTTACGCTGCTTGACTCAAAACGCAGCATGAATGTTGGGATATTTCTGCGGCAGTTGAAAATGTAAGTTTTTGTTTCATTTTTACTAGTTATGAACAGTATAGATTAGCCAGGCCACTTAAGATGATATTTGCACATTTATCTGAAAAAAAATTGAGCAAAATTGCTGTCCACCAACGTTTACCATCCAACCTGCCAGAACTGGAGAGGCTCTGCAAGGAGGAATGGCAGAGGATTCCCAAATCCAGGTGTGAAAAACTTGTTGCCTCTTTCCCAAAAAGACTCATGGCTGTATTAGATCAAAAGGGTGCTTCTACTAAATACTGAGCAAAGGGTCTGAATACTTAGGACCATGTGATATTTCAGTTTTTCTTTTTTAATAAATCTGCAAAAATGTCAACAATTCTGTGTTTTTCTGTCAATATGGGGTGCTGTGTGTACATTGAGGAAAAAAATTAACTTAAATGATTTTAGCAAATGGCTGCAATATAACAAAGAGTGAAAAATTTAAGGGGGTCTGAATACTTTCCGTACCCACTGTATATATATATATATATACACACACACTGTATTGGCCACCCTGCTCTATAGACATCTGTATTGGCTGTTTTAGAAATGGGGGCAGTGATATTGTCCCATTTGTTACAAACAGGAAGTGAAGGTTTCCTAGAGAGAGCGTCTTAACACTTCAGACAGGCAATAGCTGCAGGTTATGTTTATTTTTGAGCCATTGATTGCCCTCAGAAGATGCTGTCCCATCAGAACAGCTGGGTTTGATGGGCACTGAACGTGGTCAGAGGTCACACCTGCCTTTTGGCCAAATGAGCCTTGATGAGAAATGGAACCTGATCTCTTCACTGGCTTTTCATCATTTGCACTGAGATTAAATGTCAATTTTGATTCAGGTGTTTCCAATGAAATGTTACAGAGTGAAAGCAACTCATACAGGAAATCATAAGCCTTAAATCATTATTCATCTTTCAATGCAATTGTCTTTGTTTTATGAAAAAGGGTTGTTTTTTCTTGTCCGCACTTGCTTGCTGAGTAAATATATGGGTGCAGCAGTGCCCATTTGAGTTTGGAAAGCCTTTCCATGGGACTGATATCTGTCAGAACATGTGGAGGAATTATGTAGAAGTGCTTATGCTGGCAAACACATTTCCCTGTGTGTGTAAGCGCACACTTTTGAAGTGTACTAGTATGAATTATACTCAGCTGTGACCAAAGCAGGTCTTTGTTGCCGTAGGAAATCAGGAAACCGCAAGAGCCTTCAGTACTATCTGACATGAACAATTAGGCCAGAAAACATATAAACCAGTGTGGTGTTGTTGAACCTCTTTTGATTAGCAAAATAACCAGCTGTGGGCTTGACGTGTGTGTGTGTGTGTCCTTTCCTCTGGCCTGAGGAACCAAGTGAAACTGGACTGACAAGCATCTGTGGCCTCATTTAGGACCAAATTCAAAACTCTGTCCAGAGACTAGATTTCTGTAGCGGATTACCACAGAAATTACCACATTTATTTACAGTAATGCATTTAAAATGAAAGTCTAGGGGCAAGTGTTGCACTGGAGAAGTGTTAAAAAGCACTGCATTTTTACAAGTATTACCATAGAAACCATGTGAATGTTAATGTAATGCTACTGTGCTAAAACTCAGTCACTGACCTTTCTCTGTCCATCTATAGTACGTACTATTCGTTTTCACACGCTATAGACACCAAAAAGGGAGTTTACACAGAAAGGGACACTTGCCCCATAGACTTCCATTGTAATTGCACAAATATGTACCAGGATTATTAACTAAAACCATAAACAATTTTCATTTCTTTAAATAAAAATAAAAAAAGACTAAAAGAAAACAAGCTTATTTTATTACAGCTAGTTGCCAAAGCAGCGTTTCTCATTTTGGTTTAGTTTAAATGAAAGTACTAAAATGTCAATAACTAAAACTAAAATACTTTTAAACTGAGGGATAAAGTAATTTCCATTGAAATAAAAAGCTTCTTTTTTTTTTTTTTTTTTAGATTGTATAAAAGTAGAACCCCTGACTCTTATTCCTGATTCAGCTGAGCCAGAGATTTGTACTGTATATGGACCGAGAAAATACTTGAGAGTGATGTGATTTTCCGAGTGTTTGCTCTTCCCTCAGTGCTGCTCGGGAGATTGTGGAGGATGTGCGGCGAGGCGTCGGAGAGCGTTACGGAGCTGAGAAACTGACAGAACTCTGCAAGCTGCTGCCTGATAATGAAGAGGTATTGCCACACAGAATCAGACACGTCTGTCCTTCCACGCTTCGGTCTGCTTCATATTAAAAGCAATTAGACATGATGCTGCTTGTTTGAAATCATCCGTTTACTCCGCATGATCTCCTGTTACTCTTTCTGATTATAAGAAATGTGATACTTCTGACCAGGAAAAATCTCGCTGGGCTGATGAGACAGTTTGCCTTAGAAATAATTTCTTTAAAGAGAAAATTGAGACCGTTCATACTAAAATCCAGCCACAATATACTACAAGTGAAATCAAAGAATGAACAGGTGTGACAGCATTTTGAAGTAAATCTGGTCAAAGGGAAGTTATTGTGGAGCTCACCGGCGCAAACCTTCTGTAAAACTTCACTCCAGCTGTTAAAGACTGTGAACTGATGTGGAATTGCTACTGGTCCGTGACTATTATGTAACTGAGGCATGTGCTGCTATGTGGCTCCACCGTCTTTAATTTCTTCATTCAGCCTAACACACTACAGTAGGGCTGTCAAAAAAAAAAATTTGAATATTCGTTGAATTTAAAATAAAAATCCACGTTCGAATGCAAAAACGTTGCATTCGAATTTTAGGTGTGCATCAGGAAGCCTTATCAGTGGCGCACGAAATACGATAAAAATGTAAATGTCATTGAACTGTAGTGTTTTTCATAGCTTATCCAGCTGAACCCACTAAATGCGGCGCTGCTACGCCGTTCATTCAAAATATTGCGGAAAAAGAGAACATCAATGCGGAGAAGATGTTGTTGTTTACATCAAAACTGAAACCAAGCCGTTCACACAGAACGCATATTTATCACATTTTCTAGAGGGACATCTATCAGCGTTGCACTCGCGTCTCGCACAAGAGAGTGGCATGTTTAGAAAGCCATGTAAGTTAAAAAACATGTCTCGAGACTTTATGGCGGTTTTTCCCCATCCCACTGTATCTCATGTTTTTAAATGAAGAAAGTAGCCTACTCTTTGTGATTGGTTTTCGGTCCTTTGTATTAAACTATACATACATGCATGATGCTGTTTTGTTTCTAATTGTTTAAGCACCTTTATTAATTAAATATGGTTTATAAACATTATTTTAAACACTATGCACTTTTTTTCAAATATAGACCTGTTATTTTATTCCTTTGAATAAACGTGCATTAGTAATATTTTGTTCGATGTGCCCTCTTGTGGCCTCAGGAGAGAAGCCAAAAGCTTTTTTTCCCCCTAACTGAAATTATGCCTTTTAAATTAGAATATAATTCGAATTTTGATCATATTTAAATACAAAATTCGAATGTAGTTTTTCAGCCATTTTGACAGCCCTACACTACAGCTCCTGCTAACATATCCATGGCATATTCCAGCACATTGCATAGAATCCTGTACCCCAGAATGCTGTGTGATTTAGGGAAGTCTAGAGGAATGTTATTTATTTATATATATATATTTTTTTTTTTTTTTTACTAAAATTGGATTGAAGATTAAACATTTTTTTTCAAGAAATATAACTGAATGCTGTTTCACTTGCAATTGGAAAAAAGTGCATGTCGTGACACCATAGACATGTATAGTGATGCTATACAAAGCGTCATGGTACCATACAATAGTGTTAATTCATAATTCAAATATTCAATACATACTCAAATTAAACCCCATTTACAGAAATGCATATACACTCAGCAAAAAAGAAACGTTCTCTCGCATTCAACTACTTTTATTTCCAGCGAATTTCTTATCATGTGTAAATATTTGTTTAACATAAGTTAAACCGCTGAGACAAACTGAATGAGTTATTCTAAAGGAAAAATATTACATTTAGTCATTTAGCAGACGCTTTTATCCAAAGCGACTTACAAATGAGGACAATGGAAGCAATCAAAATCAACAAAAGAGCAATGATATGAATTATATAATAAATAAAAAGAAAGCAGATAGAATAGAAAAAGAATAGAGCAAGCTAGTGTAAGAGGCCTTGTTTTGCTTTTGTTAATTCTATAATAAATAAAAAGAAAACAAATAGATGGAATACAAAAAGAAAGCAGACCAATTTTCCCTCTCAAACCAATTTTCCTCTGAATATTCATTTAATGTAAGGATAAGTGTCAATTAGTCCAATATATGAGCTGTGAGCTGTCATTAATGCAATTTACAGTAAAGAAACGCCTCTTTGTATATTAAAAGCATATAACTCAAAATACTCTTCTACGCATGTTTACATTTTGTTAAATAGTTTGTCTTAACAGCAAGAAAGTGGCCTTTAGATTTAAAGACATGCATGAAACAGACGCAGCTCAAAAGAGAGATACGTGCAATAATTGAGAGCGTTTATAGAAACTTTATATAATTAAAACTGTAATTGGATTTTGATGAAAAAAATGAGTAAATTAAAAATGAATTGTTGGAACCTCAGATAGTGGTGTGTGATTGATTAAGTCCATGTCATTAAAATCTCTCTCCAATCAGGCTACCAAAGTTGACAACCCTGGTTATAATCAGTGAATCTAATACTTTAGTATCGTGATACCACCATAGTGCCAGTATACTGTGCAACCCTAGTATCCAGTAGTGTTTTATCTGACGCTTGTGCATCAACACGTATCTCCTGGTGTGAAGTCAGTCTGAGGTCTCTTGTGCTCTCAGGGAGGTTATGCTGGGAATGCTGCTGGATTCAGGATTTCCTCTTTACTCAAATTGGCCGACACCAAAGCCAACAAGCCAGGCATGAACCTCCTGCATTTTGTAGCCATGGTAAGTATCACAGGTAAACATGTAATAAGCCACACTTTCATAGATAAAAATAAAGTAAATGAAGCTGCTGTGGTCATCGTTGTGATAGAATGGAATCAGTAGGACAGAATTCTGGATCAGTGTGAGTGTGTTTTTTTCACTTTCAGGAGGCTGTGAAGAAGGATAAAGACTTGCTGATGTTTCCCAGCCGCTTGAGTCACGTTGGTCCAGCTTCAAGGTCAGGATCCAAACAAGCTTTTAACAGGGTCAAAATTCCCAAGCTCCCAGTCCAATAGAATATTAATGGATTAATCTCCCGAAACCTTTCAAGAGCATGTCTGGGTCACATTTCATCCCAAAATCAAAATAATATTTTACGTTTAATAAAGAAGATCTAGAGAAATGTAGAAAATAATCACACTTTAGTTAGGGGCTCAATTCACTATTAACTAACTAGTGACTAAGACATCTGCCTTCGTAAACTTTTAGTTTGTTGCTTGTTGATAGTTAGTAAGGTAGTTGTAAGTTTAGGTACAGTGCCTTGCGAAAGTTCTTGGTTTTTTTTCTGATATGCATTATCAGCTGATAGACCTTTTATTAAGACGTGTGTGCCTTTCCAAATCATCCCTATTCAGTTGAATTTGCCACAGGTTCACTTCACTTGAAGTGTAGTGACCTCTACAAGCAATATGAATGCTCCTGAGCTAAATTGAAGCTGTCCCAGATAAGTGTTTGAATACTTCAGTGGAATCCAGAAGGAATAATGCAGTGGAATCATTTACATTTTTTATTTTTAATACATTTGCAAAGATGTTAAAACCCTTTTTGTTTCCTTTTTTTTTGCCATTATGGTGTGTGGAGTGTAGAATAATTTGGAGAAAAAAGCAATTTAACATAAGGCAGCAACATAACAAAACGTGAAAAAAAAATGAAGGGGTATGAATACTTTCGCAAGGCACTGTATGTGGTCGGTTTAAGGGATCTAAAATATGGTAATGCAGAATAAGGCATTAATATATGCTTTATAAGTACCAGCCAATAGGCTATTAATATGCATGCTAATAAGCAACTAGTTAATAGTAAGAATTGGTCCCTAAACTAAAGTGTTACCAAAAAAAACCCCTCTCTTTAAAGTATTTTACATCAGGCTTTTTTGTTGTTGTTCTGACTTTGTTCTTTTTTTATTTTTATGTTGGAGTGAAATATGACCCAGTTTTCACAAGGTTTTGTGAAATTTGCTTTTTTTATATATATATTTCACAAATATTGCAGTTAGAACTACATGTTCCTCAGTGATTAATCTTAGAAAGAAAACTTAAATCACAGTTGTTGTTTTTTCTGGTCAGGTTGTCAGAAGAGTCTGTGGTGGAGGATCTTTCTCGACTACAAAGCAGAGTCGCTGAACTCCGAGTTAGAGCTCAGGCTGATGCTGAAATCGAGCAGCAGACCAGAACATTTCTAGAGGTTCGTTCACATCGATGTCGAGATCATATTCACAGATGTGCATGTGTCTATTCAGCTTGCAGTTTCATAATTTCTTCGTTCAGGTTGCGGAAGTGAGGCTGCAGGAATCTCAGGACGAGCTGGAAAGCTTACAGAAGACCAGTAAGGCCCTTGTGGATTTCTTCTGTGAAGATGACAAGTCCTTCAAACTGGAGGAGGCCTGTCTTATCTTCCACTGCTTCTGCCATCGCTTCCAAAGAGCCGTGCAGGTGAGCAGCCTTGTGTTGAATCATGTTGACTGGACTGTCTCTTTAAATTACAACCAAATAAAGTGTAAAATGTCCAGTACTTGCCTGAAGCTAGCTGATGGTTAAGACACACAAAGTTTAACTTGATATTTTTTCATGTCAATGTGACTCATAACAACGTAAACAGCACTTAAGTGATGTTTAATTGGTTTGTTAATGTTATTATATAATATAAATATTAGTGCTGTCAAACAATTAATCGCATCCAAAATATAAGTTTTTGTTTACATAATGTGTGTACTGTGTATATTATGTATATATAAATACACACACACACACACAGTAAATATTTTGAAAATATTTACATGCATATATTTATATTATATATAAATATATTTAATATAAAAACAACATATTTTTCTTAACACATGCATGTGTGTGTATTTATGTATGCATAATAAATATACACAGTACACACACATATTATGTAAACAAACTTTTATTTTGGATGCGATTAATCATTTGACAGCACTAATAAATTTTCTCTACTAAAAAAAAAATGGGGGAAAAAAATAGATTTTTTGATTTTTGAATCCCAATAATATTGAAAGATGTTTTTTTTCCCAATCAGAAGAACCATGATTTCAAACAAACAGTCATCCAAGCATTAAACTTTTTTTAAATGTAAAATTCTATTTCCAGATTATGCCAATAAAAAGCTTGTAAATAGACAAAAATAAAGGGATTTTTCATGTAATAAATGTAGACATTTTTGCTAATATCCAATAAGTGCATGTGGTAATGTATACTATATTTACTTGCAAGCATTTTTCTTAATAAATGGAAAATGTCCGGTGGCTTCTATGAACATTTTAACTGATGACATAAATCTGTGACCCATCAGTTCATTTGAAATGGTCGGTTTAAACTGATTTATGGAAATAAAGTTCAGAATCTCAAACATGATTCGTTCCTTTGCTTCCTAACAGGAGAACACAGAGAGGGAAGTACAAGAGCAGCGGCGTTTGGCGCGCGAGCGTGAGAATGTGGAAAAGCGTCGATCTCTGGCTCTGTGCACCGGACTGCAAGCAGAGCAGGAGTCTTCTGAGCTGGAGCATGCGCTGCAGAGGAGCTTGAGTTACACGGGGAGCCGCCGCAGCCTGCGCAGGCTCTCGCAGTACTTCCTCCGCTCCGGCGAGAGAAACGTGAAATCTCACAACACGCAGCACTCAGACCTACATGCTCCCGATCCTGAAGGATTCAGCAGAGACTCGGCACTTAGACATTTGCTGCTGAGGAATGATGCAGACGCCGAGGAGACTAAAGGGATGAATAAAGTCAAACAAGCTCAGCGTTTAAGCACAGATTCAACATGTGACCTGCAGCGAGATGCATTGGCTTCCCCGAATGCTACAAAAAGCCATTCTAGGCTGAATACGAGAACAGTCCCCAGTGAGAACACTTTTGTTGCTTTGGGAAAAACAAGTATCGCGTCACATCAGCAGGGGGCAGTGAATGGCTTGCCGCTCACAGGACTATCCCCTGACAAAGTTTTGAAAGTTGAGAAACCAGTTCAAGACAACTCTGAAAGGCTGACACAGATAGAAACCGATACCTTGAAGGATGCTAAGACTAAAGAGTGTGTAAATGGCAAATCTCAAAAGGGAGTAACACCACAGAGAGAGACATGGTCAAGTGCATCTTCTCCTCCTGAAGATCTAGCCCAGGAGCCCTGTAGCCCAGAACGAGAGCGCGTTTACCCGGCGATTGGAGAGACGCTGGAGTGCCACACCCTAGTGAGGGCCCTTCGCTCCTACGAGAGCCTGTCTCCGACTGTGACGCGGCCGACCACCAATCACTGCTCCAAATGGAAGAAAGAGCGGGAAGCCGAGAAGCGAGACGGCACAAGCTCACCGCATGCCAAGGGTGATTCCCGTCTGGTAAAGACGCCGACTCGAGGGCCAACCAAAAGACTGCTGGTACAGCGAGGAGGGCCCTCCAACAGCAGCGGGATCCCTAGAGTGCGCTCAAAGGCAGAACCGACTCCTGCGGACGGTTTGTCTGCTTGTCAGGTGTCACGGCCTTCCCCTACACACCCCTCGTCCATTCGCACATCGCTAGCGGCGCGCTTCGCTGGCGTTCAAAATGAACTCAAACGCAACAGCAATGCACGCCAGAGGGTAAACGCCCCGTCCGATATGGGGAAACACAAAGTTAACACTCCTGAGAAGCTGACCCAGGATAAGGACAAGTGTCGGGAGCCGTTTGTAAGGGGTTCGCCGCTTCGCGTTTCCAAACGCCTAGCACCCAACTCTGAATCCCAGTCTCCCCAGAGCATACACTCTCCCAGCGCTGCTACGACTGCAAAGACAATCCGCACTGCCATCATAAGTGCAGCCAAAGCCAAGACAACCAAGACTCCTGGCACCAGAATTCCCAAACCGGCTGCCCAGCCCATGTGGAGATGATATCTGGTTTCTTTTGAACTCTGAGTGGCAGTGGGTTGATGTTATCTATGCATGTCGTAACATGCGAAAGGAACTAAATTGATATGATTTTCACTGGTGGGTTTCAAGGTTTTTGTGTGAACGGTCAACTCAAACTGCAGAATGCCAGTAAATACAGGAGCCATTCATTGGACACTAATGCATCCGAGCAGAGTGACTGCTACTTTCTGAGCTCTCCGCTGATTATTCAGGTCACGGCGAATTTCGCCTCTTATTTCAGGACTTTGATGGAAACTGTCAGGAGAGTCTTGTCCAGCACTGTCTTTAGCTCTACCTCTGAACACTCGAATGCTCCGTGCAGGTTACAGCGCACATCGGAAGGATTCCTGCCTGAACCTTCTTTCAGTATGTGTTTAGTTTGTGATGTTAGAATGGAGCTGCCACAGTTAACGACTGAAGTGAACGCTCATGTGGGATATTGATTTTAACTTGCCCTTTGATTCAGGTCAAATCGATTGTTTCCTTGAGTTACAGGTACAAAATAATGATGCAAAACTTGTTCAAATCATGCATGTAATAATTCAAGATCCCAAAGCAAATGTGTCAAAGTAAATAGTGTGTGAGGTGCGTGTCCATTTGTACATGTTGGGTTCCTTCAACTCTGATGCACTTTACAGATGAAAGAGAGATTTAATGCTGGCAGAAACCGTCTTTGTGGTATTCTGCTGTACTTGTGTGTTTTGTTTATATGGAATGTTAAATTAACAATCAAAAACACAGCTGCCATTTGTAATGTTTGTATCTGCAAATAATGAGTATTTGAAATAAAAATGACTTTACTGTTATTCTTTCTGCAAGTAAATGTTATTTAACATTAAATTAATGCTGGTTAGTATAACAAAGGTTACAGCAGCGATCACAAATAAGGATAGATTTGGGAAAAAAATTAAAGTATTATTGATCTTTACCCTTCATATCCCAGTCAACGAGCTTCTTCAAAAGCTGATGTTTAAGTAAGGATGAGGACTTTAAAGGTTGCACCTAAGTGATTATGGATGAAGCATTTTAGCTGAACATTGTTCATAATCAGTGCTATTGTATAAATACCCCACTGGCAAGTGGTAAGTGTGTCACCCATCATTAACATTAACTCCAGCGACTGAAATTGTCCAGTGATACAGAAGTGAGTTGTACAGCTGGTCATGTGATCTCAAAATCATGAGGCACCCTTGAATGTGTCCAAAACCTGAAAAATGCTGCCTTCACGCATAATATACAGAGGTAGGAAGGTAACCACACCCATGCAATATTTGTGTTACATCCGACATCTAAAAATATGCCTCTGTCTGGACAGATTTTCATCCTTAGGTGTTGAGCACATCTCTTAAGTACAGCAAACAGCTGAGCCTTCATCTCATGTGAGTGAACATTTTAAACCATTTGTCTAAAGCGTCATTAATCTCTTTAGTTGTAAAATGAACACAGGTGGAGCCAATGCAATTTAAGCAACTAAGCATCTAAACATGATAAGAGATGCATTTGGGAAGAAAGGACATCTACAATCAAATGTGGTGGTGGTAATCAGTGCTGGATAAAGTTGATTTTAAAGTAATGCATTGCGATATTGCATTACTCTATACTAAAAAGTAACTGAGTTAGTTACTTTCTTATGGAAAGTAATGCATTACATTACTTTTGTGTTACTTTGTGATACCTGAGCTTGACTTGCTTATTTTTCATAACAAAAAAACAAAAGTGCTTTACTTGTTTGAAATAATAACTCTGATATTTTATATCAATATGGTACAAAATTATCCTATTTAAATCAATGTGAAAAATGAGATGGGTCAAAAGTAATCTAAAAGTAGTCTGATGTGTAATGTAATGGATTACATTACTACCATTTTTGTCATGTAATTTTGAATTCGGAAAGGATTTTAACTTGTCAGTAATCTACCCAGCGCTGCTGGTGATAAGGGCAGCTATATTTTAGGTTCTTTTGGATAGCCTTTATTGTTCTCACTCGATCAATGACTTATGCCAAAATGATAAGGTCAGGGTGGGCAAATGAAACTTGCTCTTATTTTGCAGTCCTCATTAACAGCTCATTGTTTTGTGGCCCTCGGTTGCACTCAAAGGCCCCTGATCTCTCGTCCCCTTCTCTTGGAACACAGGCCCTCCCAACTTGTAAAGGTTGCCATGGTGATGCTTCAGGCCTGGTCAAGAATCCCCAGCTGAACAGTGGGAGACGGGAGAGGAAAAGATGCTAGACTTGGGCTCTCAGTGGGAACGACCCTTTTATAGGACATAATGACGCCAGAACTCTTGGGAAAGGCACTAAACCGCTGCTGTCTGTGTATCCGTGTGCACACGTGCCATTCAGCGCATTGCTAGTTTGATCAAGCTCTGTCAATCACGTCGTTATTCTGTGGGAAATGCAAGGAGACTTCCGGAAAAGTCACAGCAAGATTATAATAGGCCTGTTGGAGGCGTTAGACCTCTCTAAACTCAAATACAACGTATTCCTGATACATAAGATGTAGGCTACTTGCATTATGCAAACAAGTACTCGCTTCATTCTTCTGTGTTAAATATTTCTCAGTGTGTGTCGCTTAAAAAAAGTAAAATGCCATTTCATGGTGACTGATAGCAAGATTTATGACATTTTTACACACACATGCATCTTAATCATGAACTCAAAACTGTTTTGACCTGCAAAAAGTTACAGGCTTCTGTAAACCAGCGAAGCAGATTTTCAAAGTGAACTGTCCTAGACTATCAAAAGCAATCAAGGTGTTGTTGTGTATATTGCAAGGGTATTTTGTGTTGTTAGGCAGTTGCTAGGGTGTTGTGGATGTTTGCTTGTTTTGTTGTTTGGTGGCTGTATCTTAAAATCTATAGAAGTTATACTCTTCGTTTTCACAGACAAAGCTTAAGCTTAGTCTCGGACTTAAATGCAGGTCTGAGCTGTTTTAACTGAAATCAACTTGACCTGGCATCTTAAAATAGGCTATGTGAGTGCCATTTATTTGTCTCAAGATGTACAGCAGTAATGTATTTTCTAAGGCACGCGGTCCTAATTGAACCATGGCCTAATTCTGGCTTGATCTAAGCCAAGCCAGAAATTTTACTATACTACTTATAACCAGTGTTGGGGTAATTATTACAAGTAACGCGAGTTACGTAATCAGATTACTTTTTTCAAGTAACTAGTAAAGTAACGCATTACTTTTTAATTTACAAGAGAATATCTGAGTTACTTTTTCAAATGAGTAACGCAAGTTACTTTTTTTCCAGTGTATTCCAGTGTGTCCCCATGCTGAGAGAAATCAGATGTTACTGTAGCTCTAAAATAAATATGAATATGCATTAATTCATCTCACTCACAAAAACAAAAACACTGATTCAGTATTCCTCAAAATGAATAAAATAATGCAACTCAGAATATGACGCAAACCTGCAATAATTAAATGTTAAACAACACAAATATGCTTTATGTATTTAATCCCATTCTATTTGCTTCTGAGCTTCTATGATTCAGTTCAAGCGTACTAATAAGCACACATTACTCTAGACAAACATTAGTGTGTTTGTTTATTGCTGAAGTGTTGAAATGTCTTCTTCTGTATTCTACTGTACTTTCCCTTCAGCCTGAGGCTGATTCATTTCACTTTTGGTGTGAAAAGGCTTTTATATTTGCCAAAAATATAACTTTTTTATAAAAAAAAAAAACAAGCAAGCCCTGTCCAGATTTAAAAAGTAACGCAAAAGTAACGTAACGCATTACTTTCCATAAAAAGTAACTTTTTTATGGAGTAACGCAATATTGTAATGCATGACTTTTAAAAGTAACTTTCCCCAACACTGCTTATAAGTAAGTTTTAAAGGGCCTAACAGTATGTTGTCTTTCTCAAGCAAACATACAGTGTAATGTATGCATGCTAATATTCCGTATAACATTAAAAGATGCGTTTAGCATGTAAAATTGCTTGGTGAGAATGCAAAATATGAATTTCAAGAATAGAACGACTCTTATAAAGTGAGCGGGGCTAAGCGGTCACGTAACGTGTAACCAGGTGTAAACATAGTAAACAGTTTGGAATGTTCTATAATAGGATCTATACGTTTAATACAATAAGTTTTTTCACTTATTTTCAAGTGCATGCATGATTACTACAAATAATAACAATACAAAATATAAACAAATAAGAGAGAAAAAAATAAATGAAAAAGGCATAGCTCACATTAAATTGGAACGAATAAGGATATTAAAAAATAGCTATATATAATAGGATATTTCTTCATAGATTTTTAAACATTTCACAGACTTTTTGATTTTTAACAGTCTTATTTAAGAAATATAAAACTCAAAGTCGGAACAAAACAAATTTAACACAGGGGATGAATTAATTTTTTTTTGTTTATGTATGTGAACTTTTGCTAATAAAACAAAAAGGTTAACAATATTCTAGATCCGTGTTGCTTTTGTTTTCATAATACAAGATAGCATCCTTTAAAGTGACGCAATAATTAATATTCATTCAATTAAATATAAAATCTGCCAAATCAATCCAAAACTTGTTTACGACTTTACAGTCAAAAAATCTGTATCTCTTTCTCATTATTACAAAAACAGCATATATCATCAATACTATGGAGGACGAAACCTGCAAAAACCATAAATAAATACACAAATAAATAAATAAATGTGTGCATAAATACACGTATTCTTGTTTAAATACATAAATAAATAATTACTTATGTGATGAAAGTAGGCACATAAATAAAATAAATTGGTGGGCAAATGGAAAATGTTTAAGGAAGTGCTAAACTCATCCTATTTAGTTTCCTTTGATCACGCATTTATTTCTGAATGCAGTTCCACTTTTTTCCCCTCTGAAACGACACTGGCCGTTTCTTTGGGTCGTTTGTAAAGTCACGGATGCTGCACGGACAGTACAGCTCAGATTTCTATGTATGTTGCTCTGTTAAAGGGAAAAGTGACTTTACTAGGCCATACTGGATTAACAGCATGCATCTGCTGTCAGCGGGAAAGCCCCGCCCCCAGCTATCACGTGACCCGACCCTCTCATTAGCATGCTGCGCGAGGAACAATAAAAGTGGAACTGCATTCAGAAATAAATGCGTGATCAAAGGAAACTAAATAGGACGAGTTTAGCATTTCCTTAAACATTTTCCATTTGCCCACCAATTAATTTTATTTATTTGCCTACTTTCATCACATGTTTAATTATTTCGATATGTATTTAAACAAGAATACGTGTAGTTATGCAGACATTTATTTATTGTTTTTGCAGGTTTCGTCCTCCATACGATATCAGTGAATCTCGCAATTAAAGATTTCGAAGGGTAAAGGGTATGCAGAATTTTCAAAGTGTAGTTATTTTGATTGTATTTTGATTTAAAAGGAATGAAGGAAGCTCTTCAAATCAAGAATCGGTTGAAGAGCGCGGTTCGCTCGCGGCTCAGACGTCACGTGTGAGGTCACGCGGTCTCTTCTTCGATGGTATTCTGCAGCGCTATAAATGCGGGCGCGCTAGTCACGGCGCTCTCTCACTTTTGCGATGTTTCCGCGGAAGAGCGTCGGAGCGGCTGAACATGAGGAACTCCGGCCGCTACAGGAAGGTAAGGTTGTACCAAAACGAGTCGTTGCGTGCAGTTTGTTGAATTATATGAGTATTCAAACTAGGTACTTAATCAAAACGTCTGTTTCGAAATGGTTGATGCTAACTCGTGTGCGAGTTTCGGCACGTGGCTGCGTCCTTGCGGCTCTGGTACAGCGTGTGTGTTACATGTGCTGGTGTGTTAGATTCAAGATCGTCCTGTTGTTGGTAAGCTTTTACGTCAGTATTGTGACCCAAGTTGATACCATCATAGCAGAATGGTTTCTCTGTGATGTCTTCTAAGCTTGGAATAGCATATGCAGGGTTGGCACTGATTTCTGTTGAAACCATCTACGAAAATCTGACAAAGAAGCCTGCTACATCTTTATTTATGGTTTAAAGTCATAATTTGTTTGACGCCTCTTTCTTCTGTTGTAGGAAAGATGTGTGACGATCTACGGGGATCAAGTTCTCCTGCCCACTTTTATTTATTTTGTGAAGTTGAGCACTTAAAAGAGATCAGTGCTCACTGTTAACGGTTCAAACTTTGTCGTCATGACATGCAGATTAATAAAAATGTATGCGTGTACATAGGTGATTTTTAACAACACTGCAACAATGTGAAGAATGAAGAGGTTCTGAATGCACTTTAGGAGTTTTTGCTGTTTTGGCTCCTGGAGCGCCCCGTTCCAGCAGAGGTCCGGTCTAGCCCCTGTTAAACACCTGGACCAGATCAAGCACTTCAGGATCTCTACAGACTTCCAAGTGTGTTGCTGCTGAACTCTACTGGAAGGTAGTCTTCCAGGGTGAGGGCTGGACACAATGCTTGAGCATCTTTGAGGCTGGAGTGGTGCAATGTTTTGTCTCATTAAGTTCGGTTTTCAAACACTGGGAATAAAAATGTTACATAGAATGCATTTTAATGTCTAAAAACTGGGTAAAAAGTTTTAAAACTTGCCCCGAGGACACCCCTTGCCCTCCTCCAACCAATTTTTTATTATTTTTCAGTGAAGACTTTGGCTGTTCTTTTAAAAAAAAATAAACACTCTAAAAAGTGTACTTGTCTTGGCCTTTCCTGTAACGTGTCTGCCAGGCCTCAGGTTTGAGTAATGCTGAAGTGAATACTGAGATGATGTCTCCCTCTACTGTAACTATTAGCAAAAGGAAACTGGGAGAGAACGGCTATGCATGTGTTCATATTTGATCTGCATTAATCATTGCTTTGTGTATTCTGGTTTTCACCTGTGTTACTAGACGATGAGTCCAGGCTTAACGGACACCACATGCCTGGTGTTTGATTAGCTGGAGTGTAGTCCCTGGAAACTAAAAATTGCTTTAAAGTTATTTATTGAAGTGTTTACTCCTGTCATGCATATCTTTTAAAAAAAATGCTTCTGGTCTCTCACTGTGTATTGTAAGTATAGGCCTCTGCATTGACTGGAAAACGCTCATGAGGCATCTTAACACAGCCAAGGCTGCTATGATCCGCCTCGGCTCACAGTGTTAAAGCATACAGCTGTGTTCGAGTAACTGCGCTTATGCCACCTCTGAGCAATGTTAATCTGTATAGACTGTATGCTGCCTTTGCAGTGTGACTTTGGCACTGTTCTGCAGAGACCAGAAAACCGGTTTTGCTAACGTTGGAGGTTTGCCTTAAAGCAGCTTTGAGTTGGAGGTGGTGTGCTTCCATGCAACCGAGTCTCTTGGGAAAACCTTATTTAACAGACTGGGGGGGGATAAGATTTTCAAGGATGAGATAAAAAAAAAAGTGCTGGATTTGTTTTTTTTTTGAATATCTCAAAAGATGTAGAGATGTATTAATATTTCACACATATAAGTTTCTACTGGAGGTCAGTGGCACAGGGACATTGTTTTATAGCCATGGCCTGTCTGAGCTTTCTCAGAGAAGCGAGAGCGCTCTTGTTAAGCTCTGGCTGTTATATCCCAGCTAACATTGCCATTTCAAAGAAATAGTTTTTCTAGCTTGCATCCTCTTGGAACAGTTTAGGTGGCCCCTAACTTGGGCAATGTTACAAACTTTATTTGAGTTAGAAATGGGGTTAATTAGTGACTGTAGATGAACAATGCTGTACTATTTTCATTGTATGTTGTGTCCTGTATGTGTTTACCCTTTTTGTTCCCATTTGTTTATTGTAAAATCAATTAAAAATACAAATAAAAGCTAATGAGAATCTTAAAAGAAAAGCACAGTAATGTTTTTCACGCTTTGGTATATGTTCAGATACAGAGAGCTTTATACATATTGAAATTCTTTGAGAATCGCCTTAAAATGTGGTTTATTACTTGAGAATATGTCAATCTTATCTCTAGTCGCTGTCGTTAGTGATTACTGAACGAGCAATTATTTATAGTTTTTTAAAAATTGAAATTATTCGATTTAAAAGATTAAACACAAACGAACGTGAGACAAAAACAAAAGAAAAACTTTGATATACTTGCATGCCAGCGCTTTAAATGTAATTTCGCAGATACGATACGAATGTGTAGATTAAAATAGCATAAATCAATAACAACATTCTGGCTCATAAAGAGAGCGTCGGTGGCCCCTGGAGTTTGGCCCTGAAGTCACGTGACTGTCTGGAGAAACGGGAAGTTCGTGAGTCTCTCAGCTGCTGTAACTTTATGCTTTCAAGAAGACGCATTCCTATCCAGACGACAAAAGTCCATCTCTGTCGGTGTCGGCGTCTTATCATCCGGTAAGTTTGCAGGTAGTTGATGTTTACACTAGTGTGTTTTTCTGCTCATTACATTGTTTGATGCATATTCTGTAAATATCAGCCAAGTTTTCTGCCGGTTTCGTCTCTTTTCAGCATAATCGAAACATTAATCTGAGCATGATGAACACCTGCTTAATGCTTTTCGTGAGGGTTTATACTGTCAGGGAAGCGAAAATGAAACTTTGAGTTATGCATATGCAAATTAATCTATTATATTAGATAATATCATGCGCACGGAGGAATTGTAATAACTTTCTTCATTGAAACAGTCTTATAATGTAGCCGAATCCCTGTAGAAAGAGGAAGTGTAGCCCAGATTAGTATTTTCCTGTATTTCAGCATTCATTCAGTGATTTGGCTTCTGCTTCCAGTATCTAAAGATTTTGGTGGTAGCTATTTTATATCTTGTGCAATTATGTGTCCATCTGCTAGTAATTAGCTGTCAAAACCTGTGATGAGGCATGTGATCAAAAGGAGATGATCACGTGGTCTAGATGTCAGCTCTCAAGTCAAACATGAACCATCAGGTGTTTTTGAAATACAAATAACAGTGCATTTATTTTCTGACGAGTCGTGGTTTATTTTTTGACGAGTGTAGTAATTGGGTAGTTGGCAAACACTAGGGATGCACGATATTGGATTTTTGCCGATATCCGATATGCCGATAATTTTCAACTCATTTTGACCGATGCCGATACCGATATATAATTATTTTAAATTTTGGTTAGTTTTTAACAAGAACTTATTTGTTAGAATTAAATAAACAATAATAAAGTTATTTTATAATGACAGTACATTGAAGATTTGAAAATAACTATAAATAAAATGTACACTGCATTTTTTTTCACAGAAAGACGCAGTGGTAACCTTAACATTTTATTTTATGATTTAACATTTGTAGATGGTCTTAAGCAAAAGAGTTCTGAAGAGTAACAATTCTGAAAATCTTTTAGAGCTCATAATTTGTTTAAAAAATCCGCAATGTTTTGTCTCATTAAGTTCGGTTTTCAAACACTGGGAATAAAAATGTTACATAGAATGCATTTTAATGTCTAAAAACTGGGTAAAAAGTTTTAAAACTTGCCCCGAGGACACCCCTTGCCCTCCTCCAACCAATTTTTTATTATTTTTTCAGTGAAAAAAAATAAACACTCTAAAAAGTGTACTTGTCTTGGCCTTTCCTGTAACGTGTCTGCCAGGCCTCAGGTTTGAGTAATGCTGAAGTGAATACTGAGATGATGTCTCCCTCTACTGTAACTATTAGCAAAAGGAAACTGGGAGAGAACGGCTATGCACGTGTTCATATTTGATCTGCATTAATCATTGCTTTGTGTATTCTGGTTTTCACCTGTGTTACTAGACGATGAGTCCAGGCTTAACGGACACCACATGCCTGGTGTTTGATTAGCTGGAGTGTAGTCCCTGGAAACTAAAAATTGCTTTAAAGTTATTTATTGAAGTGTTTACTCCTGTCATGCATATCTTTTAAAAAAAATGCTTCTGGTCTCTCACTGTGTATTGTAAGTATAGGCCTCTGCATTGACTGGAAAACGCTCATGAGGCATCTTAACACAGCCAAGGCTGCTATGATCCGCCTCGGCTCACAGTGTTAAAGCATACAGCTGTGTTCGAGTAACTGCGCTTATGCCACCTCTGAGCAATGTTAATCTGTATAGACTGTATGCTGCCTTTGCAGTGTGACTTTGGCACTGTTCTGCAGAGACCAGAAAACCGGTTTTGCTAACCTTGGAGGTTTGCCTTAAAGCAGCTTTGAGTTGGAGGTGGTGTGCTTCCATGCAACCGAGTCTCTTGGGAAAACCTTATTTAACAGACTGGGGGGGGATAAGATTTTCAAGGATGAGATAAAAAAAAAAGTGCTGGATTTGTTTTTTTTGAATATCTCAAAAGATGTAGAGATGTATTAATATTTCACACATATAAGTTTCTACTGGAGGTCAGTGGCACAGGGACATTGTTTTATAGCCATGGCCTGTCTGAGCTTTCTCAGAGAAGCGAGAGCGCTCTTGTTAAGCTCTGGCTGTTATATCCCAGCTAACATTGCCATTTCAAAGAAATAGTTTTTCTAGCTTGCATCCTCTTGGAACAGTTTAGGTGGCCCCTAACTTGGGCAATGTTACAAACTTTATTTGAGTTAGAAATGGGGTTAATTAGTGACTGTAGATGAACAATGCTGTACTATTTTCATTGTATGTTGTGTCCTGTATGTGTTTACCCTTTTTGTTCCCATTTGTTTATTGTAAAATCAATTAAAAATACAAATAAAAGCTAATGAGAATCTTAAAAGAAAAGCACAGTAATGTTTTTCACGCTTTGGTATATGTTCAGATACAGAGAGCTTTATACATATTGAAATTCTTTGAGAATCGCCTTAAAATGTGGTTTATTACTTGAGAATATGTCAATCTTATCTCTAGTCGCTGTCGTTAGTGATTACATGAACGAGCAATTATTTATAGTTTTTTAAAAATTGAAATTATTCGATTTAAAAGATTAAACACAAACGAACGTGAGACAAAAACAAAAGAAAAACTTTGATATACTTGCATGCCAGCGCTTTAAATGTAATTTCGCAGATACGATACGAATGTGTAGATTAAAATAGCATAAATCAATAACAACATTCTGGCTCATAAAGAGAGCGTCGGTGGCCCCTGGAGTTTGGCCCTGAAGTCACGTGACTGTCTGGAGAAACGGGAAGTTCGTGAGTCTCTCAGCTGCTGTAACTTTATGCTTTCAAGAAGACGCATTCCTATCCAGACGACAAAAGTCCATCTCTGTCGGTGTCGGCGTCTTATCATCCGGTAAGTTTGCAGGTAGTTGATGTTTACACTAGTGTGTTTTTCTGCTCATTACATTGTTTGATGCATATTCTGTAAATATCAGCCAAGTTTTCTGCCGGTTTCGTCTCTTTTCAGCATAATCGAAACATTAATCTGAGCATGATGAACACCTGCTTAATGCTTTTCGTGAGGGTTTATACTGTCAGGGAAGCGAAAATGAAACTTTGAGTTATGCATATGCAAATTAATCTATTATATTAGATAATATCATGCGCACGGAGGAATTGTAATAACTTTCTTCATTGAAACAGTCTTATAATGTAGCCGAATCCCTGTAGAAAGAGGAAGTGTAGCCCAGATTAGTATTTTCCTGTATTTCAGCATTCATTCAGTGATTTGGCTTCTGCTTCCAGTATCTAAAGATTTTGGTGGTAGCTATTTTATATCTTGTGCAATTATGTGTCCATCTGCTAGTAATTAGCTGTCAAAACCTGTGATGAGGCATGTGATCAAAAGGAGATGATCACGTGGTCTAGATGTCAGCTCTCAAGTCAAACATGAACCATCAGGTGTTTTTGAAATACAAATAACAGTGCATTTATTTTCTGACGAGTCGTGGTTTATTTTTTGACGAGTGTAGTAATTGGGTAGTTGGCAAACACTAGGGATGCACGATATTGGATTTTTGCCGATATCCGATATGCCGATAATTTTCAACTCATTTTGACCGATGCCGATACCGATATATAATTATTTTAAATTTTGGTTAGTTTTTAACAAGAACTTATTTGTTAGAATTAAATAAACAATAATAAAGTTATTTTATAATGACAGTACATTGAAGATTTGAAAATAACTATAAATAAACTGTATATTGATCACTGCATTTTTTTTTCACAGAAAGACGCAGTGGTAACCTTAACATTTTATTTTATGATTTAACATTTGTAGATGGTCTTAAGCAAAAGAGTTCTGAAGAGTAACAATTCTGAAAATCTTTTAGAGCTCATAATTTGTTTAAAAAATCCAACATATTACACATTAATGAATAAATCAGTAGACCTATATATACAATTATTTAATTTAAGTGTCGTTTGTGGGTTTTTTTTCATGTAAGCTATAGCTTCTGACCTTTAAATCAAAACATACTCATGATTTTATGGCATCAATTACTGCTTTATTTAATCAGAAACAGCCTAAATATTATTTGTGTATTTTGCTTTCATTTTATTAGAAGTAGGCCAACAGCGCTCCCTACGGAATTAAAACTCCTTACTTGAGCGGACATTAGGACCGGGGGAGGCTGCCGCTGCACGTGCTATTACTGTTCACTCACGAACGAGTTTTTCTGTACTTGCATTCTCAGATTAAATGCAGCGATCCAAAACAGTGAATATAATCATAATTCAGGCAAAACTTTGCTTCAAGAATGAGCCACACTGCTGACATGATCTAATCACTAGCACACCCTGAGCACATGTGAGTTAATGCATTCCTCTTATCGGCAAGACATATCGGCATTATTTTTCATATCGGGCCGATGCCGATATTTACATTTAAAGCCATTATCGGCCGATTCCGATATTAATGCACGATAATTAATAATATCGTGCATCCCTAACAAACACCACCTTTTTACAGTCAACATCAAGGTTGTAGCTGGAAAATATAAAGGACAGTTCATAATTTACGTGTTGTAAGAGGTTAGCTTTTCTTTCAAGTTGTTCACGATTAACCTATAACCTCTTTTATGTCTTTTATGTTTAATTAAATGGTTCTGCGATGTCATGGATTCATTTATTAAAAGCTCAGATAATCCATAAAATCAGATTGACTACATGCCTAATAATTATACATAAAGGATATATTGTTTAAAATGTATTGTTAATATATTAAATACATGAAAGGGTCAAAGACGAAAAAGGGTTTAAGCATAAACACAATAAGTGTAATACTGCTTTAAATTGTTGCTGTTTTCCCCAAAAAATGTAAAACGTTTTCTGTTTAATTTAATTGCAATTTTGTTTTTGTTTTTCTGAGCAAAAAATAAATATCATACGTTTCCCCCTGATTTACAGAAGACACCCACTAAAATGTCATTCAGTGTAACAATCTTGTCAGGCATATTTACAACAAAAATCATTTTATGACATATTAAAAGACTAATTTAACTTTCACACCCCAAATACTAATTAGTTGTAATTTTACATTTTTTTAAATTAGCCAATATCCTAGCTTTTGCCCATTTGTCAGTAAGAATTTTTACTCATTTAAAGCACAATAAAATGTAATATGCTCCCTTATTTTTTTATATATTTTAATATGTACAGGTCAGAATAAGCATGTTGTTTGAATTTTTACATAAATATTGTGCTACACTGAATGACAATGTATGAACCAAATTTTTACATTTTATTCTCCAAAAAACTTATTTAAAAGCTGTAAAGTAGACATTTTACTTGCATTTAATGTGCTTTCTATGGACATAAAATCACTTTTGTAAATTTCTTTTGATGCGGACATCTTAACGTCTTTGACCAGAAAATAAATTGTTAAAAATATTGATGTAGTTTGACATTGCCCATGTAACCCTGTGATTTTACAGTCACAGGTGACATTATGAAACCTAAAAAAGCCCTCAGAGAGGAACACGCAATCATGCTCACATGCTTACTGACTCAAAGCAGAAGAGGAAGTGCTATATCTGTTCACAAAAGAATTGTCCAAGTGTGTCCACGTTTCAGAGCCCATTCTTGCTGTTTGATTGTGTGTGTTTCAGGTCATGGGCTCTCTGTTCCGCAGTGAAGAGGTCTGTCTGGTTCAGATCTTCCTCCAGTCGGGATCGGCTTACAACTGTGTCAGTGAACTGGGAGAGCTGGGAATAGTGGAGTTCAGAGATGTGAGAGAATTAATACTTGAGAAACCCTTTTTTTGTTGTTTACGTGTTTTATGTAAGTGTCTTTACCTTACATTGACTTGCCGATGGCACAAAGAAGATAATGACGCGTCTTTGTTTGAAATCCTAATCTCAGCTGAATCCAAATGTGAACGCGTTCCAGAGGAAGTATGTGAACGAGGTGAGGAGATGTGAGGAACTGGAGAAAACCTTTGGTGAGTCTGTCACCTCTCAAATCCCATGATCCTGCATCATTTCACACATGTTCCTAGTGCTATTGTGCATCAGTACACACATTATTCCAAAGAGAACTGTGTTTGTCTTTGGAAAACATTCATTTAAATGTAACATCTTCCTGCTTCGGAGCAGTTTGTTATCAGCTGATGGCATTTAGGCCATGCACGTCTTTAAAATGTTAAACAATAGCCGAATATCTGTGTAGTTTGCTGCAATCAAAGCAATCTAAAAATTGTATGAGTAGGTAATGCAGTAATTTACTGCTGATTAATGTTAGTGCAAAAAAAAAATCACAACAATAATAGCAAAAATGATAGATTTGGGGAAGAAGCCTTCTTATGTCAAGATTAGTGCTGGGACATTAAAAAAAAAAAAATATATATATATAATTGCTTTAAATTATAATATTTCACAATAAACTATTTGTAAATCTGGAATATCCAAATATTTAAAAAATAGCCTTTAAAGTTGTCCAAATGAAGTTCTTAGCAATGCATATTACTAATCAAAAATTAAGTTTTGATATATTTACAGTAGGAAATTTGCTAAATATCTTCATGGAACATGATCTTTACTTAATATCCTAATGATTTTTGGCATAAAAGAAAATCTATAATTTTGACCCATGCAATGTATTTTTGGCTATTGCTACAAATATACCCCAGCGACTTAAGACTAGTTTTGTGGCCCAGGGTCACATTTATATTGCTCCAAACCTGTATAAAGTTCTTTCGTCTGCTGAACACAGAAGAACATATTTTGAATAATGTAAGCAGGCAAACAGTTCCCCATTGACTTCCATAGTATGGTAAAAAAAAGAAATTTTGTGGACGTCAGTGGGGATCAGAAACGGTTTGGTTACCAACATTCTTCAAAATAATTTAATTTCTGTTTAATGTAAGAAAGAAACTCATACAGTTTTGGAACAATTTGAGGTTGAGTAAATGATGGCAGAGTTTTTATTTTGGGTGAAAATCCCTTTAACTGTAAATGTTTTTCAGTGCTTTCCTGTACCAGTGTCTAGTCACACTTCCATTGTCATTATTTCCCTGTTAATGCATAACATTAGTGCTGTTTCATATAGTCTCTAATGCAGTCAGTTTGTGATTTTACACATGTGCAGGTGTCCAGGAACAGAGACCACCATTGCAATGTATAAGATTATAGTGGGGTTTTTTTATTATTAGATTGTAGAAACATATACAATCAAACCAAAAATTATTCAGACAGCAGATACTTTACTAGTGGGTGCAGGACACTATAGTTAATTTATGTAAGTGAGGATAGCAAAATAAAGTAAACTGTGACATATTATACCCAAAAATTCTTCATACAGTGGACTACCAGTAAAATTGATAAAAATATGGGAGCAAACATTATTCAGACACTTTGACCTGACCATGTTTGCCTGCGTCCCAGTGGGCATACTATCCATTCTAAATTCTATGAGATAGTAATTTTCAGTACTATTTAGGGCAGATAGGGTGGATAGTATGCACATTGGGACACAGGGTAAGTGCTTTTCTTTAATTGCTAATGCGACCTTTTTACACCACAGACTGAACAAAATGAAGCATTGCTTGGTAATTGGTTGACCTAAATTAGTATTATCTAATTGTGTACTTACATTTAACAGCTGAATTCATTACATACCTTTCTATCAAAGTTATCTGACATTATCAAGATGAATTTGAGAAGTTCTTGTCATATTTTATTACCATTTTCTAAACTATAGTGAATAAACTGTGATAATGTGAGAAATGCTGAAGGTGTCTGAATAAATTTTGGTTTGACTGTACGTCTGTTTTTGTTGAGTTTTTTAAAGTTGGTGAGAGATTTTGCTTGTTTTTCCTCAGGGTGAGGAGGTGCAGTGGACCGTGTTTTTAATCTCGTTCTGGGGAGATCAGATCGGTCAGAAAGTGAAGAAGATCTGTGACTGGTAGGTGATCTGGATTTGGTGGTTTTGAAGGAAGACAGTCCTGAAAAACCTGGACCTTTACCAAAGGATTTAAACAGTGTGATTTCTATTCTGAAAATCTAACGAATCCCAGAAAAGCCGTGGAAATTAGTAAGTTCTTGAAAAGGTCATGGAAAAGTCAGTGCTGAAGTATTTCTTTGGCTATGTATTCTTGTTGATTTTCTTTCACAAACTGATCTTTATCAAATTATATTTAAAATTCATTATCCAGTAATCTGGAACTAGAAAGAAAACAATATTATGAACCTTGTCCTGATGTGTTGTGGAAATTATGAATATTTGATGAGCATTTTCCCCCTTTTTTAACCGTCTGGCAGATCAGTCACATTTTAAAGGGGTCATATGATGCGATTTCAATTGTTCCTTTCTCTTTGGAGTGTTACAAGCTCTTGGTGCATAAAGAAGATCTGTAAAGTTGCAAAGACTAAAGTCTCAAATCCAAAGAGATATTCTTTATAAAAGTTAAGAGTCAGCCACACCTACCTAAAACGGCTCGTTCTAACACGCCCCCACATATCTACATCACTATGTGGAAATATTAGCATAATGCCGCCCAAATGGGCATGCACCGAAAGAAGGCGTGGTTTCAGGAACAACGGTAGTGTTGATGCAGTCATGTGAGGGAGACGCTGTGTGATTCAGTGCGAAAGCAAAGGCACTTTATTTGGCCTTCCGGAAGTAGATGCAATTAGGAATCATTGGTTAAGATTTATTTACAACAGAACAGCACAACCCAGATGCTCGAATTTGTGCAACACATTTTATGGACGACAGTTCTGTGAACCTAGTAGAGTAGCCTTCAAGGCTGGCTGTGCAAAGACTATTTCTAAAAAAAAAAGGGTCAATTCCGACTTTGCAGTGACAATCTGGCGCTTCTGAGAACAGGGTCACATCACAGGAGAGTGAACTGTCTGTCAGAAATCATAGCACGTCAGCCGTCTTAACCGCGGCTTGTGTACTGCAGCAGCACTGTGTCTGTCACACGACTCTGTTGCCCTTTCGGGCTTGAACTGATGGTAAAACTAATGACATTATTAACTGTCTTGATATTTACTTTGAAAGCTGAAGCTCACGATTATGGAAAGGGGCGTTACATTTGGAAGGAGGGGCTTTGTAGAAAACTAAGCGTTTGAGAGAGGCAGGGCATAGAGGACCTACAATAATGTACAGTATTTGAAAAAGAATGTGTTTTTTGAACATTAAAGCATGTCAACATATTCTGTTACATCAAATACACAAAATAATGATCTTTAAAATAGCATCGTATGACCCCTTTAAGTGTTGATAAGGAGTGACAAGACTTTTTTTTTTTTTTTTTTTTTTTTTTTCAAAAACTTAACTTTTTTTGGGTTAAAAATCATCCAAAATCAATATTTGAGCAAGTACATAACCAGCCAGTGTTCGAAACTATCGCCTTACTTTAGCCCGATTCACAATGGTTAGTGGACTGGGGTTAAATAACGTTCAGGGGTGGGGGCCCACAAATTCCCCCTTGAATGTGTTGATGGGTCATAGCGCCTTCAATTTGAGTAAATAAATTAATTCATTAAAGAGGACACAAAGGAATACTGATATATATGACTGAATTCACGACAAATGCAACAAACTTAATAATGCATTTTTGTCATATAGAAAAGCACTTGAGAGTAAAGCATTGATTTTAGAGCTAGACTGCTGGAAAGTTACTGCTAATAAATTCTGTCATCATTTCCTCACCATAAAGTGTTGTTCCAAACGACTTTCTTCTGTTGAACACAAAAGAAGATTTTGTAGAATGTTACCGAACCATTTTGGTTACCTACTGTATAGACAAAAAATTATTGAATTTCTCAAATTATGTTCCACAGAAGAAAGAAATCCATACAGGTTTGGAATGACATGATGTTGAGTAAATGATGACCATTTTAATTTCTGGGTGAATCTTCCTTTATTATTTGTACATAATAAACACCTAGTTTATATAAGACACTGATATTTATCTTTAATCAGGCCCTTATTGAATTAACATTTTACTTCAATTAAAATTCATTAGAACCTAACATCTAAAAAGAAAGAAGTTCTTATTTAGAATCCAGAGTTTAGCTGACTAGCACTGGTGGACACAATAAGTAAACCCATGGCCCTCATTACCATGGTTATATGGTTTTAAAAATAAATAATAATTAATAATAAACTATAAAATTTGTAGTAAATTATGTTCCACAGAAGAAAGAAATCCATACAGGTTTGGAATGACATGATGTTGAGTAAATGATGACCATTTTAATTTCTGGGTGAATCTTCCTTTATTATTTGTACATAATAAACACCTAGTTTATATAAGACACTGATATTTATCTTTAATCAGGCCCTTATTGAATTAACATTTTACTTCAATTAAAATTCATTAGAACCTAACATCTAAAAAGAAAGAAGTTCTTGTTTAGAATCCAGAGTTTAGCTGACTAGCATTAGTAGGCTGGTGGACACAATAAGTAAACCCATGGCCCTCATTACCATGGTTATATGGTTTTAAAAATAAATAATAATTAATAATAAACTATAAAATTTGTAGTAAAAAAAAAAAAAACATGAAGAAACGATAAAACACCTATAAAATTAAAATATTCCCCAATATGTAATAACAGTAACATTTCTAATAAATAAATTTCTGCCAACACATAGGCTATTTGTACAGTGTTAATAACGTCAAGTTAAATTACTATGGTGGTGAATTGACAAGCCTATTGGCATTTTCCAATATACCTCAACTAGTGTCTATTGATATTTTTTATATTTTTATATCATCATAAGCCACCAGATGTCACCAAAGTCACCACATTTTTAGGTTTTGGCTGTCTGAACTTACTGGAATTATGTTTTTTTACTGAAGTAAAATAAATATTAAATATAACATAAAAAGAAGCATATTTGACATAAAAATATGGTACTTTTGCGAAGTAACGCAATATCCTTTTATTGGTGTTAAATTGCATAAATTTTGATATGACATTTAAAAAAAAAAAAAATTGGGATCACACCTGAGACCTTCGTGCCCAAATTTGTCCACAAAGGACGGATTTAGGGCTGTCATACAAAGGATGCTTGAGGGTTAAAAAAAACTCATATTGATCAACCCATTGGTTCAGTTTCATACAAAATTTTCTGTTTAGAGGTAGTTAAACATATGCTGGACTCTTGTATCATTCAAAAATGAATTTGTGAACAAGCGCAATGTACTATTTCCCTATTTATTCGGTTTTCTGCTCTGTTCCACAAACACACAGCTTCCACACACAAACATTCCCCTACCCTGAGAGCCAGGCAGAACGAGAGGAGACTCTGAATGGACTCCGAGGAAGAATCGAGGACATCAAATCAGTAAGTGCAGTATTAATCAGTCAACACATCTCTCGATTTTTCACTTCCACTTTGTAAACATTTGAAACTCCCGATACATAGATCATGGGATGTTAATAACTGATGAGAAAAACAGAATAATGAGTCGGTCTGTGTTGTTCATGATTCTGTTTTATTTCCCGACAGTTGCTTTGTAAGATGTTTCGACCGAATCGATAGAACAAACAGCTGTCAAGCGTATGGATGTTAGTTTCTGTAAACAAACAGCCATACAGTCTCAGAGCTTCCTCACCATGTGTCTGTGCTCCTCCGTGGCTGTAGGTCATGGGTGAGACGGAGCAGTACATGCAGCAGCTGCTGGTGCGAGCGCTGGCCCGTCTGCCCGAGTGGATTGTGCAGGTTCAGAAGTGTAAGGCCGTGCAGACAGTGCTGAATCTCTGCAGCCCATCCGTCACTGATAAGTGCCTGATCGCAGAAGCCTGGTGCCCCGTGAGCCAGCTGCCTGCCCTGCAGAGCGCCCTGAGAGAGGGAGGGGTGAGCGTCCACTGTCACTACACATCTGTCGCTGTCAGGTCAAGCTCATTAAAGGGATCGTTCACCCAATAATGAAAATTCTGTCATTAATTACTCACCCTCATGTCGTTCCAAACCCGTGAGACCTTCGTTCATCTTCAGAACACAAATTAAGATATTTTTTTATGAAATCCGAGAGCTCTCTGACCCTCCATAGACAGCAAGGATATTACCAAGATCAACGCACAGAAACGTAGCAAGGACATCGGTAGAATTATCCATGTGCACGTAAACAACGCTCTATGTAAATTAAATGTTGCATCTCTGTTTTCTTTAATTTGTGCATTGTTGGTAAATCACCCGCAGAATTTCCATGCCCATCGGCGCTGTTTTATGAATTGTAATCACACTAATTTGCCCTGTTTAGTAAATCTGGCCCATGATCTCATACAGAGCAATGTCATATGATTCGACTCCCCAAATCATAATAATGAATGAATAATTCATGATAGTTGTTTAAAAATAAACAAAAAAATATACTAAAAACTTGCTGACTGAAGGAGAAAGCTACAGTAGAAACTCCATCCATCCATCCTTTCACACCCTGGTCAGATGTTGTGTGGCACACACACGCACACACACACACACACACACATACTCACTGCATTAGTGTCTCCAATTCACCTGCTGTATGCTGCATGTCTGGTTTGTGGGGAAACCAGGCAGACTCCACACAGGAAAGCCTCTTATCTCTGAAACCTGTTTTTCTCTCTCAGAGGAAGAGCGGCAGTAGTGTGGACTCCTTCTACAACCGCTTGCCGGCCACCACGTCCCCCCCCACACTCTTCCCCACCAACGCTTTCACTGCAGGATTCCAGAACATAGTCGATGCCTATGGAGTGGCGAGCTACAGGGAGATGAACCCAGGTGACACACACTCACAACACACACCACTAGTTTAAAGGGGTCATCAGATGCCCATATTCCACAAAGTGATATGATTCTTTAGGGTGTTAATGAAAAGTCTATAACATACTTTGGTTAAAATTTCTCAATGGTAATGTAAAACAACACCCTTTTTACCCTGTCAAAAACAGCTCTGTGCACAGCGACCCATTTCGGTGCATGTCCCTTTAAATGCTAATGAGCTCTTCTGTAGATAAAGCTGGGTCATGAATGATTCGGTCGGGACTAACAACTCTGTGTTTATTACAGCGGTGGGAGGGTCTGTTTTGTACATCTGGGCATTGCAGAGATGACCCGTTCATAGTCATTCGGAATGATTACCATAGTATAACCACAGTTTTACTACAAATAACATGGTGAAGCTAAATGGCTAGTATAGCAACACCATGTTAATGTGTGGTTAAGTTTAACTTTTTTTTTGTATTAAAACCATGTTTAATTTTCTTAAAGGTACATATGTAATTAAAATATAATGTAATTGAGTGCAGAAACGAACGCGAGTAATCTTACCTGACGCTGATATTACAGTAGCCAGTGTTAACAGTTTACGTGATCTGGCTCTTGATTTTATTATTGTTATTTTTTTTTTATTTCTTTGCCGGGAGGCAAACATATCAAAATTGTGTGCGGTAAGAGCGTCTGGTAGTTCACGTTGGCCAAAACACACAAGGAAACGCGTTGTGAAACAAATACCATTGGCAATCACAGACATTCGCATTCAGACAGCATTAGTTTTCTCAGAGGATCACGGAGTTTGCTGAAAAACAGTAGGTAATTTTCTCTGGAATTACAGAGGTTGTGTGAGAAAAACACAGATGGGATTATAATCGCAAAGTACATCTGTGAAACACAAATTTTTCTAACGACCCCCTGTAAAACTAGTCCCATCCGAATAGAGCAATAGACGCATTTCGGTAGATCGGGGGTGCATTGCCTTCAAAAACAAAGGTAATACACTGCGTCATCAGCGGCTCAGATGTCAGGAGTAAATGACGACTGCAAAACATCCAACAACTAAACACCTCAATTAATAATCGTGGGAGGGGCCTGTGCAGAACTACATCACTCTGCCAAGAATCTGAGAATGGCTTGATTTGAGAAAGGGGTTATGATTTATGGGGATTTAAAAAAAAAAAAAAACACTGGGTGGATTTTTATCATTATAGGGTGGTTGTGTACACACACTGCCAATACACATTTATGTTCAAACAACATGTAAAAGTGAATTTTGCATCCGATTACCCCTGTAAAAAAGCTTAACTCCATTCTCATGCACCTTTTACTGTCTGTTTTCACACGTTTGCAGCTGTCTACACCATCATCACGTTTCCCTTTCTGTTTGCCGTCATGTTCGGGGACGTTGGACACGGTCTTCTGATGACGCTGCTGGCTCTCTGGATGGTTCTGGAGGAGAAGGATTCAAAACTGAGGAAAAACACTAATGAAGTAAAAACATGCATGCACACATTTTCTTTTTTTTCCCAACACTCTAACAACTTACGTTTTCGATACTGGAATTTTTTACTTTGATACAACACCTTATATAATAAAAATATCCTATAACAGTGGGAAAAAATGTCACAACATTAAGGGCGTGAAATTTAAACGGTGTACAAGTTAAGACAATATTGCTCTGAGGAGGATTATATGATAATATTAATAATGATAATGTTCTTCATACTTTTCTTATTTTAGGAAGAAGAACATATTGTAATACCGATACTTGTAACTTCACTATTCATTTCATAAGTCTATTAATTATTTTACTTAACACTGCAGCAGTAAAGTTATAATACTTATGACTTAATTTCTTTACTTGCAAGAGTTAAACCCTCAAGCGGAAAACTGCTAAGAGACCTATAGGTCAGGGGTGTCCAGTCCTGCTCCTGGAGGGTCACTTTCCTGCTGAGTTTAGCTCTAGTCCTAGTTAAACTCACCTGAACCAACTAATCAAGTCTGCGGATCTCTAGGGCTGTGTTCCACTTCACGTTTAGACACACTCGCATAATTCCCTAAGCACTTCCCCTCGGGAAAATCCCTGCCATCATTTTGAAGTGTGTTCCACTTTGTGAAGTGGATAAGGGAAGTTTATATGGACAGACCCTCGACCCCTCGATTTTCATACTTTTTATGTACATTTCAGGCAGCTCCACACACCACAATGCAACACGATTGTAACGTCACCGCAGATCACGTTTAATTTACCTCCACCCCAAACGACACTTATATCAATTATTCAATTATAAAATTAGCGTTTTTCTCAGGCTCCTGTGTTTATGTTCAGTTATTTCACTTAAATGGCAATGAAAAGAACCTATTCACTGCTATTAAAGTGAAATTACTGAACCTACACCGTAAGAGCCTGATAAAAATGCTAATGTAACGTAGTTTGTAGGTCGGGAAGAAGGAGGCGGGAACCGGCGAACATTCCAAGAAAACTTTAATAATAAAATAAACACCAAATAGCGCGACAGCCCCTCGCGGACGACTGCCGCGCACATACGAAACCAAAACACAAAATAAAATCCAGGCCTGGTCCTCTCTCGTCTTTCCCTGTCGTCACTCCTCCTTTGTATCCTTCCGGAGCTCCTCCGTGAGACTCGAGACCGGTGAGTGGCGCAGGTGTCGCGCATTCGCAATTACTCCACCGGCCTCGCTC